CAGGGTTTTGATTCTTGTAGATCAACAGTCTCACCTGGGTTCGAGAGGTTGCATATGAGATGCGCCAATCTTTGTCAATCCTAGGTGGAAGACATTCAGAAATGGAGACAGTTAATTGCTCATTGAAGGTAGCTTCAGGTCAATTGTTCATTCTGGTGACCAGCTGATGTTTCTCGCTCATCACAGGCTTCATCTTGGTGCCCTGTCATGGCTTCAAATCTCAATATTGTCAATGTTGTATGCAGCTTACTGCGCATAGACACCATTGTATTTTGCCCGGAGAAGATTACTAAGAGATCAATATCGTCAATTATGAGGCTTTTGTAGGTGGAAATGAACGGTGTTGTCAATTGGTGGGTCCTCAGAATTGAAATCTACATCGTGCTATACTGATATATGTTTTATACTGTGGATTATAGAGCTAAGATAAAAAAAAGAGAGAAAAGCATATAGAAGCAGTTTCTTAGGAATCAATAGAGCCTTCACCAGCACACTTTTCATATTCATTGACGCCGAATGACGAGACATAGCAGTAGTTCTCTTTACACTCACCGTCTGAGCAGTCTGGAGCAAATGGAGACAGTCTATAAGCAAAATCAGAATACAACTGTGCTGTTTCATTGCTCTTCTTGATACTTTCAGCCACGGTAGCCCAGAAAGTGGCATTCAATGGAGCATCTGCTGGCCAAGTACTCTGAGGATCGTATGCTTCTCTAGCAGAATACTCGAATTCCCAAACAGGCTCAGCACCGTCGTTGCCAAAGGTTTCGTTGAGCTTGGTGTAGAAATTCATGGAGTTCATTATGGAAAAAGTTTCCGTATCAACTTCATAGTATCTCCACCCTGGGTTGAACCCAACCCATGGGGTAACAGATTGAATAATCCAGGTGTTCATGATTGCATCCTCAATGGTCTTGTTGTCGTTGGCGTACAACATGGTGAATTGATCCTGGTGTGTATGGCCAAAGAACAGTCCAGCAATAGTTGATGGCGAGAATCTCGAGTAGATCTGCTTGTAAGCTTCTGCTTGAGTTGGAAGCGTCTGAGTATTTGGTGGAACATGGGCAATGACCCACACACGCTGGCCTTGGGCCTCAGACTCCAAAAGCTCATCAACGAGGAACTTCAAGGTCCCGAATTGGTCGATTCCATCTGTCATGTTCCAGTAATTGTAGTAGTTTGCAGTGTAATAGCTGTTGGAGTTGAGGGCAATGACCTTCAACCCACGTTTGGTTTGGATTGAGTAGCCAGTGTAGTGCTTCTTGATCTGATCGTAGTCATCGAAAGGAATCCAGCCATTGCCAATCCATATACTGGCCATCAATTCATCGTTCCACTCGTATAAGTTCTTATGGCCTGAGGCCTCAGACGCAAGCTGTCCATACGGGAATGTGTCATGGTTACCAAGCACAGGATATACTGGCACATCTTTGAAGTAGTTCTTAAGATCTCTCAAAACATGTTCCTGGGACTCAATGGTGGACTGATAGCTGATGTGTTCTTGCTCATCATGGTCAACCATATCACCAGTGAAGATAACAAAGTCAAACTCCATGGAATTATTGAGCTGATAGTCGACAATCGATTTCAAAGAGGAATTGATCAAAAGCTCTGGCGAGTCACACTGGTAGAAGCCGAATTCTTGAGCAGGTGTCCACACACTTGAGTTGTACACCTCTGAAGTGATGTCTTCTCCGAGTTGGAACACCCCTTCATCCGTGTAGTACGAGTCAAAGAATCTCAAATCCGGGTTGTCAATGGAGTCTGGTTTTGCATTCTTGTTCCAGCTATGGGGGTTACAGCACATCCCACTGGTGGTACAGTTGGCCTCTGAGCCAAGCGTATAGTCGAGCTCAATATGGAAATCAGAAACGTGAAGCACGTTGAAGGTTTCATTTCCAGGTGTTGGTGCAGTCATACGTGATTCAGGTTTGGCAGGCCACCATGATGAGAGGTCAATGGTTGGAAGCTCTGGTAAGGGACATTGGCTCTTCATCTTGAAATGACAAAGGTAATCACCATCGACGGACCATGGGTCCATAAGCTGTAAGAGATTGGCAAAGTCAGAGCCGCTTCTTGAGGCTTCAACAGTATGTCTTGAATATGTGTTTTTGCAAGTAGCAGCAGAGCCCAGTTTAGTCATCTCACACCATTTAATGAATATTGGAGCCACCAATTCGGGATTGGTCAGTGCAATGGCCTTGCCTATATCCAAGGTTGACTTACACCGTTGACATTTATCCAAATTGGTGGTGTTAGAGTATAAGCTCGTCAATGAGTGCAATGTTTGCTGGATGATTTGCTCATCCGTTGGCTTCTGACCATTGCTAGGCCATTGGTCAGACAATATGGTGTCGAGGCCACCAGCAGCCACGACACATATGATCACTAAGATCCCGGTAATACCAGTAATCATCATCATGGTGTTTGGGTTCATAATTGGAATCCTCCACGAAGCGTTGAATATTGGGTATTTATATATCGTGAGGACAGACACAAGGAGTGCTACACCAAATGATCAGCAATTAGGAGCCACCTAGCCTACTGTGTTCGTAATGTTCACTGTTTGATGGTGAAATGCACGTATGCTAATCCTTCTGGTAGTGCAAGCCTATGATCATCATCTTCGAGTTTGCATCTGATTTGTTGATATTGTACAGAAAACGTGCTCTGCTACAAAGGGTAATTCATTGACGGAAAACTGATCGATTGATCGACACACTACGCTATACACCGGAAATAAGTCTTATTTGAGGCACACTGATGGAACATCAGAGCAAAACTGCACATCAGTGACATCCCATAGGCCCTGAAGCTCCTTATTGTACGCTGTAGAACTTGGTGAAGATGAGCAGATTCGTAGCTCACGTGCGTATGTGACGCCAGAATGCATCCGGACACCAACATTTAGAGTTGCATTGCGTGTTTACACAAATTTCGTCGCTACAGTAACAATCAAAGAGCCATGTGTCGATATGCCATCACACCTTTCCTTTAAATGGTATGCTGAACGGTAGGTGAGCATAGAGCCCTCGGTCCGTCACGTATTATTAAGTGCCGTTATACAGTAGCTGGGATATATGCTTAGTTCTCTGGTGGTGGTGTTCCCGGTAGGAAGAATCATATAGAGAGTAGTATAAAGTGTGTTTTCCTAATACAGAAACTATGGGCACTCCAGAGAAGATGAGAGCTAATCAATAACAAGAAAATGTATACTTTTAGAGGTTTAAGTTAAACAGAAGGGGTATAAATCTGGCTCAGTTGAGCTCAGCGGTACAGTTGTTGTAATCGTTGATGTTGAACGAGGAAACATAACAGTAGTTGGTATCACAGTCTCCGGAGGAACATTGGGGAACAAAAGGTGACAGTCTGTAAGAGTAACCGGAGTACAGTTGGTTCGTGGAGTTACTTTCCTTGATATCCTCTGCGACAGTTGCCCAGAAGGTTGCGTTCAACGGAGCATTTGCTGGCCATTTATGGTCTGGATCGTAGGCATCTCTAGCTGAATACTCGAACTCCCAGGTAAGTTCAGCACCATCGTCTGCAAAAGTCTCATTCAACTTTGCATAAAAGTTGTAGGAGTTCATGACTGAAAATGTTGTTGAGTCAACCTCATAGTATCTCCACCCAGGGTTATAGTTGGAGAGTGGTGTGACTGACTGTGAGATCCAAGTGTTCATGATGGCATCATCCACACTCTTGTGGTCATTCGCATACAAGACATTGAACTGATCTTGGTGAGTATGTCCAAAGAACAAGCCTGCAATGGTGTATGGAGAGAATCTGGTAATAAGTTGCTTGTAAATCTCTGCTTGGATAGGCAGTGTATCGTAGTCGACGAACGGAATGTGGGCCATCAACCAAACTCTTTGGCCCTTAGCCTCTGATTCTAAAAGTTCATCTATGATAAATTTCAAAGTACCAAACTGGTCAAAATCTTCAGTCATGTTCCAGTATGAGTAATAGTTCTTTTGGTAGTATGTGTTGGAATTAATTGCAATGACCTTTAAACCACGCTTGGTTTCAACAGAGAAACCTGCATAGTGTTTCTTGATTTCTTGGTAATCTTCAAATGGAATCCATCCGTTACCAACCCACAGGTCTGCAAGCAGATCCTCATTCCAGTCGTATAAATTGGTATGTCCTGAGGCCTCAGATGCTAGCTGACCGTATGGAAATGTGTCGTGATTACCTAGCACCGAGTACACAGGTGTATCGTTGAAGTACTTCTTCATGTCTCTGATAATGAGCTCCTGAGATTCAATGGTCATGTTATAGTTTGTATGCTCCAGCTCATCATGGTCGATCATGTCTCCAGTGAAGATGACGAATTCAAAGTCTAGATTATTCTCCTCCTGGTACGCTGCGATCGATTTCAGAGAAGAATTGATCAACAACTCTGGAGAATCACACTTGTAGGCCCCAAATTCCTGTGCCGGTACCCAGACACTGGAGTTGAAGACATCCGATGTGACATCATCACCCAATTGGAAATTTCCATCTTCATCATAGTAAGAATCGAAGAACTTGAGATCCGAGTTGTCAACAGAATCGGGTTTTTGGTTCGCATTCCATGTATGTGTGGTACAACACATACCGTTGGTAGTACAGTTTGCCTCAGAACCCAATGCGTAGTCCAACTGGATGTGGAAATCTGAAACGTGGAGAACGTTAAAGGTCTCATTGCCTGGTGCTGGTGCGACCTTGGCAATGTCTTCCTTTGCAGGCCACCAGGATGAAAGGTCAATCTCTGGAAGCTCTGGCAAGGAGCACTGCTTCTTCATCTTGTAGTAGCACAGATAATCACCATCCAATGAGAAAGGATCCATCAATTGTAACAAGTTTGTGAAGTCCGTACCAGTACGGGAGGCCACAACGGTATTTCTCGAATAGTATGTTTTACAATTTGCAGCAGAGTCCAGTTTATGGGTTGTACACCAATCAATAAAGACCTCTGGAACCAGGTCTGGTCTGGTGAGGGAAATTGCCTTACCAATGTCCAGTGTTGCCTTACACTGCTGACATTTATCCAGCATCGAAGAGTTTGTGTAGAGAGAGTTGATGGAACGAATAGTTTGAGCAACGATCTGCTCATCTGACGGGCCTAGTCCATTTGATGGCCAGTTCCCTGACAGCAAACTGTTGAGGTCTGCTGGAATAGCGAAAGACACAGCAGCCAATTGAGCAAGAATTGCCAATCTCATGGTATCGGTTACTTGTTTGGATTTCAAGGTTAACGGGTTCTATGGGATGATGAAGATCCTCCGAGCACGTTTATATACCCTGGGCTGGACGTATAATAAGGTGGTTGCAGATCTCTCACGAGCAGTGTTTGTTTATCACCTGTATAGGAGATTCATATAGGTGTGCGTCACCTACTTAATACGTCTGAGGGCCATTTCCCAGTGCAACGTGGGAGCCTCGTGGGCCTGTTGATACTCAATTGCACATCTGCAAGTTGATGCTTTGTTGCCTTGAACCGCACATCAACACCAATTAGGAATTATATTGAGACAATGAAGCTCAAGCCAAGTCATAATCAACGAGCTTGAGTGTCAAGAAAGCTTTTCAGCCCGTGCTGCACATTGTGTGGTACCTTGAACCAGTACATAACTTGGCAGTTGGGCAATTGGCAACATCGCCAGAAAGACATAGTTAACATGCTCATCGCCCACGCTCGGAGTTGAACTGCACATGCCAGTGAGGTGTACCTTTTGCAACAATGCAGATACATAGATCTGTCGTTTATGTAGTTGAACTGTCGCTCTTTCTGCCAATTTATTACGGAAAGGGTAAAACACCTGAAAACGTGCCCTTCTGAAACGGCTGTAGGGTTCTTTTGGGATTGGCCATTGGACTGACTGTGTGGTAGTGATGAGGCCTTCATTAGGGGTTAACATGTGAGGTTCACAGCATGTGTGTTTGCTTTGAGGACTCCACAGCGGGTGGATCCGCTGTGGAGCACGTTTCTCAGGAGCTCGTCGTTTAAGACTTCGACTGGAGGGGGGGGTACGACTGCTCCTGTATAGACGACATAACATGTGTGTGGGCTATAACATACCGATGACACTTGAGCGTGGGTTAGCCACTTGATACGCCGCCAGTGTGTTTACGTAAAATCCGTGCCGGGACGGCCATGGCTCCATGGA